AATATTATAGATTTTAGTGTGTGTGTGTGTGTACATATAAATCTATAATATTACAAACAGACAGAAAATCATAGATTTCCAAAATAAAAGAAATGACACCTTACGCAAAATGCCATCTGACCAGGATTGTCCGGTTCAAATGACCCAGGTCATATTTTGAGTTCAATTTTTAGTTTATTATTCAACTGTAGGCTTGTCTCATTCATTATAAATATATTTTTCGATTTAGGAGATCTTTTTTCGTCGTAAAGTTTGCTCTTGAAAATACGAGCCACCAAAACAAAGAAACATTTTCTGATTCTCATCGAGATCTCCCGTTTTAGAAAGATATTTCATCTTTTTTCCCTTCTTAAACTTACGATTCATCCCCGAGTTTTCAGTCAAACCTCATAGATCTTAAGATGCACGTTTTTCTGTATTGTTAGAATTACTAGTTCCTTCATTTTATATCATTGATATTAAAAAATTCACGTGTTGGTTGAATCAAGAGCGACTGAATCGCGCAATTAAGAGACGAACAGGTCGCATGATAGTCAACCTATCTCATTGTCGACGTATTTTCGTTAATGGCTGGACATAAATAACGATCTTGAGGTAAGATTCTTTTTGTGTAACAAGAGTAGTAATTTTCTAAATGATCGAACAGTGTCAAATAAATAAAGTTTCGCTATCTTTCAGAAACCTAGAGAACAGTCTCTTGTTCTACAAAAAAGTCAAATCTTCCATCCGGAGTGGAAATAGTTCTGCTAGCATCCAATCGAAAGAATCTACGTCGAGGTGTGTCAATTAGCGACAAAAACAGCGGACAGCTGTTGGAAGCGCCGTCGTGATCAACGAACGATTATAATCGATTCATCTCCTATTCATTAGATCGGAAGATCGAGCATCTTCGAGGGGGCAACCTCTAGACAGGTGCGTGTCCCGATCGACGTTCGAATCGGTTGCGCGTTAATGAATACGCGACGATACGAGATTCGATCTATATCGAGCGAGCAGGGGCCAGCTGCGGCTTTCGCAACAACCAAAAGACTAAAAATATCCGCGCGCTATCGTAATCGCAGCAGCGGATAATTGCGCGCGTCGTTCCGCGACACCACGCAGAGAAGACGGTGATTCGCGCGGCAGGATGACATAAACGTCGCGATATCTCAATCCGCGCGATGACGGGGCAGGTTTTAATGCCACGCATAAAGCTTGATTATCGAGGATCGCTGCTATTTTACTCGGATGGATCGGTCAGACGCAAGCACGTTCCGCGGAAATTGAGTTTAAAGTTTTGGGTATCCTTCTTCTTTTTACGAACGTATTATTTTTATACTTGAGGAGTAAAATTTCGTTTTCTTTTTCTGTCTTTTTTCTCTTGAGATTTCGACTGCATGGAAATAACGGCAGATCGTAAAAAGTGTTCAAGAACTCGCTTATTCTTTAGTTTGGCAATCTTCGAGACTTGGCGTATCGCGATCGTAAACGTGGTGGTTCACGAGTGTTCGCGGCTAAACGCAGGTAACCTAGCTACCACTGAAGGCTATGTATTTTTTTTTTTTTCTTTTTCAGGAGGACACACGGACGCGAACGTGTCCCCGGAAGCGAAGGGGCCAGGTGCAAGGGATGGCACGAGACTGGGCCGGATCATCGCCATTAGAAAAATGTCAACAGCTGGATCGCGGTAGGGGAGGAAGCCTAGGCAGGTGCAAGCTATCGTTTCGGTTTTGCTCGATCGGCCAGGACGAAAGACGCTCGCGAACCGAGCTGAGTGTTGCACGCGAGTTCCTCGGACACGTCGGTAGACGTCAAGGAGACCCCCGAAAAATCGAGCCAGAACACACCTGTTGGACCCTGGCAATTAGAGAAAGAGGGAACAAAACGAATCCGAAGCGATCGGCGCGGGGAAACACAAACGTAAACACAAACGTGGGCATTTTAATCTGGCACGCCAGCTGCTTGTCCCCGGCACGAGGCAAAGCTCGATCATCGACGCCGAAAAGTGTATCGGCTGGCCGATCGCGGCCTCGAACGTGTGGCGAACAGGTGGCGCGGTCGTTGAACACGTTTGAAAGTTAAACGCACTTCGGGTCACGAGAGTCGTAAAGTTCTCCCCGCGAACTCGGTGCATCACAACAGAAGTAAGAACGATCCGAGATGATAAATATCAAAGCTTCGTTCTCGAGTCGGAGCAAATTCTTCTGCAACGTCGTGTTTTAACACTAAACGCGTACATTTTACATATCATATTGTTCCTATCATAATCGGTCAAATGAAGATTCCTTCGCGAAAGGAATGCAGACAATTATCAATTTAATATAGAAACCAAATAACAATTCTTGGATGAGGATTAAAAAAAGAAAGAATTATATATTTTCATTTTTTTTTTCCTTTTTTTCAATCAATGAAAGAGATAACAATGAACGCAGCATTTTCAATCAAATTGAATCCATCAGGGATGAAAATCTTTATAAAGTATTTTACGAAGAACCATTCGAGTCTCTAAAAATACCTCATTTCGGCCATTTCGGTGACTCTAGTGTTAAAGACACGAGTGTGTCTCGTACAACACCTGACCGTTTAAAACCACGTAATCGCGTACAGTGAAACATTGACGAGCGATTACGTCGAAGAGATCGGTGGCACTGCTAACGAAGGGGGCTTGATTCAAAGGAAAGGAAGGTGTAGTTTTACTGACCGCCTGCTGTCTTCTTGCGACCAAGTGGACGCGGCGTGGCGCACCGGGCCGCTTTCGGCAGGTGGCACTTTGCAACCTTTGTGCATCCTGACGCGCTGCACTCACGCAACGCGCTCACGACGACTGGCGAGGATCGTGTGCCACGAACAGGTGCGCCAGAGTTGATTTTCAGGGTTCCTTGACTCGATTCGTTTTTTCGCGCTCGCCGATTTCTGCCCCCGCCAGCATCCGAGCTTGATCTTACTTTACGTAACCCCCGTAAACACGTTGCGTAATTTCGGCTTATCCTCGATTATCTTTACGCTGGACTCTGTCTCGACGTCGTGCGACAGCGTTCCTGGCCGTCGACAAGAGTAATCGGAATTCGTTGAAAATTCCAATGTTGCGTAATTCAACATTTCCTCGCGGGCTATTTAACGGCGAGAATCGTCAACCGATTCTGAAGTTCTTCGGCTATTTGTTATCTGACAATTCGCGTCCTTTGATCGTAGATCGTTTGCCGTGAGCAAACGTTGCCTGTGCGTGTACTTTCAACGTCACGCGAGTCGAGAATTAAATTAAACTTTTACAGGACGATCGCCGTAATATTTCCACTCGTATATATCCGCTTGTAGATGAATATCGATCGTGTCTCGCTTACGTGAAATCACTACCAGATACATACTTTCTTTCTCCTGCACGCAAACCATCACGTTTATCTTTCACCACGTGAGCAGAGAATTCCAGTAGCTTCTCGACACTCGAGAATACGTTTCACGCGATAAAATTGATTTTCCTATTGAAGATACGCTGCCAATTCAAAGTTTAAAATCATTTATCTCAGTCATAACGTTTATTTAATCGAGCAGTTTTGTTTCTACATTTATTATACACTAACTTCTTTCAAATTATGTACAGGATATTTGAAAGAATCAAAGGATCGAAAGATTTGCCTTAGTTCGCTGATCTTAATCTTAATCTTTCTATGTCTGGAAACATAAGTTTTAATATACCCAAGTAGAAATATCCAATGGAAATTTTACAACAGTGTTGAAACAATATCCTCGAAAATAATGTTCGAAGATTGAAATAAATTCATTGAAAGAATATTCTATTGAAAATCAAAGGAGAATTTTTTTTGATAAAAAGCATATAACGTATTACAAATGTTTTTCTTTTTCTTTCTTTTAAACTTTTGTATTCGATAAGTGATGATATCCGATGATTCATACATATGTATGAAAAAATAAGTTCAAAAGAAAGAAATAACATTTCTTCGTATAGGATTTCGTCTCTGAGAGAATCGAGTTTGAAGATTTAGTAACAGGGTGATTTTCTTCTATTTTCTTTGAATAAGAAAATTTTGTTCCAACTGTTCTTTTCTGTTACGTTTAGTTAATTAGTCAAATTTCAGTATGCTCGATACATTTTTAAACTCGATTTTCTCGAAAATGAAGTGTCTTACGAAAAAATTCTATTCCTTATCTTCGAACTTGTTTTTTCATATATCGCAGGATCATCTTCGTTTCGTTTGACACTACCGATACTGGGACGTGCTGTGTAGTTTGTGAAAAATTTCTCAAATAAAATCATTTTCAAAGAGTGGAAATTCTCTTCTCAATACATATATATGATGTACAGTAATCTTAAACTTTTGATGAAGAAACAGCAAATAATCACCCTTTTTCTCGATCTCACAAACAGATCACATCTCCGATCTGGCCAGGGATTACCCTTTGAAGGAAAATTATACAACTCACACACAGTACCGATGATCCTTCAAGATCATGCACACATGTACGTATGCACGTTCTTCTTAATCAACCGTCCTCGATTTTCCCTTGTGACCGATTTTGTCTCTCCCT